ATATACATATATGTATATTGGCATCAAACATTCGACACCATTCCCTCGCGCTCTGCCTCCAGTTATACGTTTCAGTTTCGTCTTCCTCTACACCGTAAACCTGTGACCACGCCGCCGCTTCTCCCACGTCTTGCACCTCCCGTTGAACTACAATTAGTCGTGCTGCAGCGCTTCGTTGTGCATTCTCTGCACGGCAGGTTCGGCCATCCACCAGCCTGCCTGTCAATGGCGGGAGCGAGCCTGGGTTCTTAGCCGCAGTGTCTTACATGTGGCATATCATGTTCTCGCTGTGTACTGTACGTGTTAATAATAGATCCGCGCTAACCGTCAGATGTACGACCCAGTCGAACCCATTTACCGTGCTTTTTTTAAGTCAAAATAGGAAGGGGAGAACAGAAACTCCGAAACGCGATGTTTCGGCCACAAACGCGTCCATTGCCGTTTAGGCTAGCGCGCCGATTTATGCTGCGTGTTTGCGATCGTATCTACACGGTTAGTCTATACTCCGCTCGTTCTTCCACGTCTCGTAGTTTACCGCCTGCGTCGCTGAAAGCACGCGACATATATAGGCAAAGCATCCGAGAAATGCAATACGAATCCTCAGAGGTTTAGAGCATCTGTAATATCGGGTGGGATACCGAGGACGTATAATTGCGGCGATCGTTCCGTTGATGCGACGAGAGCGCACGCCGACATGTCTGTGATGCGACGCATGAGTCCAGAACGCATGCATCGCACTTCGACTTACAGCACGAAATACACACATAGACGCGTTTCCATGGCGGTGCCCGGCGCTCTTCGGCTGCGGGCATATACAATAGCGTGATACGTAATACCATAGAGCGCGCGGATCATAGAAGACTCTCCGACCTCGGATGAAGCCAGGTGTGGGAGATTTCTCGCAATGAAATTCGCAGGCGCGGTGGTGTACGCCGTTATGTGTACGGTATTTATAATTAACGACATCGCGCGTGACGCAGGAGGTACGTTGTTGTTTGTGATCTCTCATCCAATGTGGCAGCCGCGGTTCGGCAAACACATTCTCTGGACGCTGAGAAGCGGAAAGAAGCAGGAGGCAATGGTAATTAATCCGCTTAATAGATGCGTGCCCGCTTGGCTTCGCTAGCCCCGCGTGCTCATATACGGCGACGTATCTCTCTGCCACTGCCCGTACAGGTAACTATAACGTTCGAGAGCGAAAGTCGTGGAAATACAGCGAGAGCAAGCTACCGGCATGTATAAATTACTATAGGAACATATGTTCCCTATAATTGCCCGGGTCGTGTATCGAAGTAACACCAGAGTCGGGCGAACGACGTTAACGAATCAGAGATGCTGGGTCGACCACGGTGCCTCCAGCCACCATGTTGTCCCGCCGACCGGAAGCAAGGCAGGCATATAATTGTGTACATAATGCTAACTCGAGTACTGCATTTACCGTTCGTTGTAACGAAGGAAGCACAGCTTGCGCTTAGCGCTCGCAAAACGCGCACATGAATGTCTTAGTGGGACGTATTGAAATTTATTGACGAGCACGCGTCATGTCGCAGAGCAAATCCACGAGCAAACCACACGAACGCTCCTCCGCGTGACGTATGCAGGAACGAGAGCGTACATACGCGCGCGCGTTTGCTCACTCGTTCATTAGGCGCACGATAAAAATAATTTATGCGAGCTATACGAAAATAATTTCATGACAAGCAAGTGGACTGACGGACGGAAGCACGCGCGTCACCGCCATGCTTCGCTCGCGTTCACGTCATAGTCGTTCTGCAAAACCGCTGGCGAGTCCCGAAAGCTCGCGCGATATGAAATTGACGGAATTATAAAGTTGACGGAATCGATATTAACTGGAGAGCATTCGTGCATTATAGCATGACAAGGCCATCCGGCGTGCGATGCCCGGCCCCTGCTGCGAGTTCTCAGCCGAGCGCGATGTACGCATGCGCACGCGCGCTCTCTCATCGCGAATGAATTTTCATCGCAGAATATCGACTTCTTTGCATCGCGACGGAAAGTGCGCGTACGCGTCCCCCCACCCCTCTACTCCGCGCTCTGTCTCTCTGTCTCGACATTTCTCTCCCGTTCGTTTTCATTATTGTACTCGTTCTCTCTCTCTCTCTCTCTCTCTCTCTCTCTCTCTCTCTCTCTCTCTCTCTCTCTCTCGCTCTCT